CTTCGCCCGATAAACTTTCTGCCGAACGCTTTGAGGGCTTACACCATACGGCGCATCATAAATTACGCGTGCCAACGATTTGTTGTAAATTAACTTAAACAATGCGTTCATCATAAAATTAATGAACGGCGGCGGCGGCGCCACGCCGGCTTAAGGTAATGTCCAATTTTTGGCCGCGGGACATAAATTTTCGCCGGGTAGAGGAACAAAGGAAACAGGAAAAATATCGCACCGGCGGACTAATTGTTTTCGAGTGTTTGCGCAAGGTAAGCAACTTGAAGGCTGCGCTTTGATGACACTTCTAACTCGAGCTGGGGGAGGACCCGGACTATGTTTTAAGTTTTACGCACCAAGGGGTGAACAATCTGCGAGCACAACATCAATATTTAATTGTGGCTTTTAACTCAAAGGGTGGCTAGGAAATTTCATTTTGGAATGTTGCAGAGGTTGATTTTGGTGGATTTTAGACTGAAAGTATTTAAATTCATTAATCTTAAATTTTTTGCTAAAAAAGCCTCAAGTTTAATGTCTTGTAACTTTGTTGTTCCTCATCAGAAATTATTGAGTAAAATATCATTAGAAAGAGAATTTAATTGTTAAAATGTGTCGCTTTTAAAAGATAATATTGTATTGTTATTTATTAAGATATTAATAAAAATATAACAAAAATAAAAAAATATTGGAAAAAAAATTGTTGTATTTTAAAACTGTTGTAACTCAATTGTTTAAAAACATGCATAATTGAAAAAAATATCATTAGAAAGAGAATTTAATTGCAAAAATATTTCGCTAATCACCAGTAATATTTGATAAATATTTACAAAGTTATAGGTTAAAAACTAAAAAAAATGAAAAAATGTAAAAAACTTTTTTTTCACTGAAAACAAAACAAAAAAGCTTTAAACTAACAATTTTGTTTGTTATAAAACAAAATTTTTAATAAAACTACAAAAAACTATGTAATTTTCGAAATAAAAACTTTTTACTTAAAAATTTTACGAAAAACTCTAAATTTTCGCGAAAAAATCATAAAAAACTTTTCCTTTGCCCCGAAGAAAACTAAAAATCACATTTTACAATGTCGACTTTCTTACTATCCATGCACCATGTTCGTTTATGGATGACGCAATAAAATTTAGAAAATGTATGAAAATTTATTCCATATTCCGGCGAGCGCACAAAAGGCGAAAGCAGAAAAAAAAACGCGAACGACTGCTTCATCCGCGAGAGAGATGCCGATTTGCATATTGCTATTATTTTAAATTAACCGATTTGCTCGTGTAAGCTGGGCGCATCGAGTCGCATATACACGACGTTATAAACAATTTGCGGTACAGCTTTATTAAAATGTTTAAATCAGTGCCAGACCGTCAGGCGAGCAGAGGGAGGGACAAAAAAGTAAAATTTGAAACGGGCGGCACTCCGACGCCAGCACTGATTTGTTATAATGTATATATCTACATCTATACGACGGGGGCGGCGGAAAACCGGAAGAGACCTTGGCGGAATGCGAGTTTTTCGATTTGTTCATCAGCCAGAGTGGAGCACGAACGCGAGCGCGCGACTAAACGCTTAAATTAAATTTCATCAATCGCATAATCGATTTCCGCCTTGCGGGGCTTTGCGAAATTAATTATTTTCGTGTGCAAAAGTGCAAAAAGTGATGTGAATCCGGCGTAATCTGTCAATTAAAAAGTCTTAAGCAGAAATTGATTAAACGGCGTGCAGGTAGCTTAACCAGCAAGGTGAACTCCACTTATAACTTCCCGGAAGTGCCCGGAAAAGACGACAAAACCTCGAAAAAATCAAAAAATAAAATTAATTAAAATTAAAACATTAAATATCTAGTAATTAAATTATCTTGTATTATGTCCCTAATGAAATTGGAGTGTGTATGGATGAAAGGGTTACTTCCGGTCGCGAATAATGCGTCTGCTTATGAAAGCTTACATTATAGATTGCACTGAGGCCACTTTGGAAGGCTTACGCTCCTCGCAGCACACATATTGATAATAGTTAACCGCGAACCGCGATACTGGCTATTTCCAGCCGCCCCCCGAAATCAGGCCATAGCCCAGTAAACCTATTACATCCGTGAACGCATTGTGCGCGCCTCCAGCATTACGACGAGCAGATTTTCTATTAATTAGAACGGATAACACGATGTGAGCGATTATTGCTTCTCTGTTTGCCATACAACGTATTATCATTATATTATCCACTTGTGAATAATAAATCTTGTTATCTATGGATTGAAACATGATGGAAATGAGGTTATGATTGGAATTATCGGTAATAAAGTGCAAAATGTTGATAATTGACAGTTGACAACTGATTGTGATCTTGGATTGATAAAATTATAGGTTATAGGAGTTTCCAAGTTGATAGATACGAGGCTAGCGGTAGAAGTGACTTGATTCAGGGCACCGTACAAGGCTAGCGGTAAAAGTGACTCGATTCAGGGCACCGTACTTCGTTAGCGGTGGAAGTGACTCGTGTTCAAGGCACCGTACTTCGTTAGCGGTAGAAGTGACTTGATTCAGGGCACCGTACAAGGCTAGCGGTAGAAGTAACTCGATTCAGGGCACCGTACAAGACTAGCGGTAGAAGTGACTCGTGTTCAAGGCACCGTACGAAGGTAGTGGTAGAAGTGACTCGATTCAGGGCACCGTACAAGACTAGCGGTAGAAGTGACTCGTGTTCAAAGTACCGTATGAAGCTAGCGGTACCAGTGACTTGATTCAGGGCACCGTACAAATAAAATAATCGCGTTTTTGCGGCATTTAACGTGAAAAACAACAAAATTAATAAAAAAAATCAACTTTTAGAAAGAAATTTTGATATTTAATGATAAATAACTACAATTATGTCAAGAATTAAAGTTTATGTTATCACCAGAGTTGACAGCTGTCAATTGTCAGTGTTTTCCACTCCTCGATCATGTATATCACGTAAATAATCACCGTTTTGGTGGATTTAACGTGGATAATAATAGAATTTTAAAAGATTTTAACGTTGAGCGAGAATTTACGTTCGGCGTGGAGCGGAAATTGTGGCAATTAATAAATTATTACCGATGCGACAGCGCGCGCATTAAATTATAACATGCGCGACACCGCCGCCCCAGTTAGATGCGTATCGGCCGGCATTAAAACTGTCAAAAACAATAATTCGATGTAATCGAATGGCGCGCTGTCATTTCGCTGCAATTGTAAATTGCGCGCGTCGTAATCCTAATGAAAATGCAACCATATTACTTAATTGAAACGTTTTCGGATAATTAAATTATTGTTGTTTTTGTCGGCGGATAAAAACGTGGTATAATCCCTACTAATATTATAAATGCGAAAGTCCTGATGTTTGTTACACTTTCACGCATAAACTACTTAACCGATTATCATGAAAATTTGTACACATATTCTTAGTGGACCCCGAATGGTTATAGGCTACTTTTTAATTATAATAAAAAATTATTGTTTAAATAAAATAAAGAAATTGTTTAGCCAATAATACCTCTGCATCTGGCTATTTGACTACTTTAACGTCATCTAGCATTCCAGCAATGAAGCTCAAACCTAAGTACTATAGTACCATCACACTGTATTATCACACTGTATTACCGACAGCTACGTCAACATCAAATCCAATTGACTACACTATGGAGACTGTACACTATACTTCCATAGACTATACTTTCAGCCATTTTAAACTTCCCGCCATTCTACTTCATTGTTACTTTTCTGTGACTACAGACGCGTACGGAAACAACTTCTTTATTTTAGATATTCGTGAGTGAAACCGGGGATTAAAACTATTGGTGGAATAAGCTCATGAACAAGTTGAAATCAATTAGTCGCGAATTGTCGCCCAATTGTTTTCGAATTGTATTTACAGCGCACACTTTTATTGTGTGGAGTTGCATCCGCCATGTTCACAAGTTGGTGGAACTCTTGCCTTCCGCAGTAATTTAAGTAAAAGCTGTAGCGAAGAAGGGTTTCGCTTAAAATTCTCCAATTGGTGAAATTCAATTAAACCAACGCCGATTTCTTGACGGCGAACATTCAGTAGATGGTGTTGTGTTTGAAGGGAAACTAAAAGCGTATAAAACAAGAAAGACTTTTCCAGGGGCGGCGGCGGCGGCGGTATTGGTGAGCTGGTGCGCTTCGCTCTGTGCCGCTGCACTCTACTATGGCTTTTTGTTCGCTTCATTGCGTTTGTTCATAAGTCCATTTGTCAAACGAAGTTTAGTTGCATTTTGTGCGCGCCGCGGGGGTGGAAAAATAAATAACACACAAATCGACGCGCGTGTACATCAGCGCACACATTCGTTTTGTATGGGGGGCGGCGGTCGGGTGGAGTATTTGTCTTGCGGAAAACATGCGCTTCCTTTTTCTTGTCGTGTACTATACTTGTTTTTCCAGTTCACTTCCGACTATTATGAAACTTTTCGACCTTTGTATACAATTCACTCACTGCTGCCAACACACAAAAACTATCAAAATGATTAAATTTCCCTGCTGCACACTGTTTGCATTTTCAAATTAATTAAAATTTCATTACAACCAAATTATCACCATTAATATTTTGATTTTATATTTTAAACAAAATAAATCACTGCTTTTCAACGCGGTAAATAAATCCAGTACAATGGAAAGCTTTTCTTCGCCGGACATTGTTTGCAATTACATTGAATTCGGGATGACGATGAGAGTTTACACAAGTGACATTTTTCATTGCCGCAGCAGTTTAAGTCGCAAAAACTGGATTGGATACGGCTGCCAAAACAAATACAGCTCGCCCCATCTCGCAACAAATATGACGGATGTAGAAACTTTGTCTTGCAACTTATTGAATCAGTTCATTTGTATTAGGAATTTTTTTAAATTCATTTTGTCACCGCTAGAGGGCGCTACATGATAGAAATCTGCAATTAATTTGACGCGCTGCAACTTTCAAGGTTGGCAGCAGTGCGCTTGGCGTCTTTTCCATTTTTGCAACTCAGCGTGTGCGTCACATCTACGATTCTGCTCATTAAAAACTAATAAAAATTAATAAAAACAAGCTTGAACAAGTTGAGTATGTGTAAATACGAAGGTATAATAGTTAATCGCATGTTAGTGAATAGATATTGTTAGTCAATTGCGATTTAACGTAGAAATAGTGAAATTGCGTTTGTGTAACCTCCAATACCGCATGCCGCTGCACATCGACATCAAAATTCCGCCATTTTTTGTGTTTTCTGTTTGAAATTGTAAGTATACAACTTAATTGAATGATCCTAGTTTTTAATATACATGTTTGCCTTTAGAATCTCGTGATGTTGATGATGCTGGTAGCAGATATTCCTGTGGGCTGCAGATACTGCATAGCAACTATTACACTTCGCAGTGGTAAGGTGGATTTCTTGCAAATGCGAGTTTTTCAACTAGTTGAAAGTGTTTAAAATGTAAGCACTGCCTTGCTCGGCCCCCGAGTCGCGTCATTCTTTGCTCGCCAACTCGGCTCGGCTGGGGCTAAGCGAGTTAGACAACTTCCGTATAAGTAAAGCCCGGCGCTGGGTGAAACTTGTACTATTAGCAACTTGCTCATTAAATTATACACATGTTATGGAGTTAGGCAAAAGTAATAATTATTTCGTATGCAGTTGTAAGTGAATTTGCTAGTAGCTAGTCTCAGCGAAATTTTCACGTGGGACACACACATAACTCGGGAAGTTTCGAATGCGAATAATTTACTTAGATCAACACTCAGACTAGAAATTAAACAGGATTGTGTAAATAAAATGTTTATCACTGCTGAAAAGTTTAATAAGTCAACAGAAAAGGCACGCCGTGTGCTGTTTGCGTTTCAAATCAATCGGTTTATGGTCCGTCTGGTGGATGTTTCTGATGTTTCTGAGTCTGGCTGGCAGGAATATTACATTTTTCGGAGAGACATTGAAAATATGTATGTGTTTTATGCGGTGGTTGGTCGGTCTGTTTTATGGCTTTTTCACTCGTAATGCGCGAAAGAGTTTTCTGCATCGCATAAACAAATCGAATTCTCGCGCCGCGGCGAAAAGCAATTCGGCGCTTTTTGCATTCGACATTGTCAATGCTTACGATTACGGCGGCGCTGAAAAAGTAACGGCCATAAACGTCCAACAGTTATGCATACATTTCGGAAAATTGTTTTTTTCGCATTCCATAAATTCGCGCATCGCTTTTTAATGCAAATAGAATAATTCGGCGCGCAAAGCGACACAATTAACGCATTATTTGCATTGTCTTGTAAACAAAATGTTGTGTTTAATATTTAGTCGCTTTGTCGCAGCAGCATCGCGTCTTTAAAACAGATCGGCGCCGCATTCCTTTTTATCCCTTCCTAATTAAATTCGCGCAGCGCGCCAGCGTCTTGAATGGCACGTTTGAGAGAGCCGAAAAGAATTTGGGTCGCGTGCAAATACACTTCCTGAATAATTTCAGCTCCCGGGGCTAATGCAAGCGACAACAAGAACTCCGCAACATTATCTGGGGATAAATTCCAAATTTTCAGCTCGCGTGCAACGCGCAAGGCATTTTTGCGAATTGTGCTATTATGCAAATTTGTTGCTCAAACTTATTTCATTATCAAAACTAATAATTTTTCATTAAATATGTGCAAATTTTGCGTGAAACCACAAGTTACCTAACTAAACTTTAGTTATAATATAAAATTAAATATCTCTGCTTGAAAATACCCTATTAATCATCAAGTGCGCTAAGTGGCACTTTAACCACGTGATCCTTATGCTATTTTTTTCTATTTCCACTTTAATTCAAAGTTTCACATAATAATACGCAGGCCTAAACTCCAACCCGTGACTAAAGTACTTTAGCCACGACCTGTGATTAAATTTCCTTACTTTTCGTGTGGAAAAAATAAGTTTCTGGTGAATTCGTAAGAAATAACATGTGTAGCAGGCATTACCCCGGTGTTAATTGTGTGTAATAGGTAGCAATTTGGGTTTTATGACTGCAGGTAACGAAAGTTGTGTGCATATTGCCGCGCCAAGGGCGCGAATGAGACTGTGGCGCTCGACGACGTTTATATTTATAAGAAGTGCCTCGGCCATTATTCTCTATTTAATCTAGAGCGAAGGGTCGAAAGTTCTTGTGTGTTTTGCCGTTGTTCTTCTCTCCTCCATCCCGGGCGCTTCCTTCCGGATGCGCGCCGCGCCACTTTCGTCTTAATACGGAACCAGAAAGGTACACTCTCCCCGGTTCGCGGCACAGTGCACACGGGGCATTATTGTTGTGTCTAAGCGTAAATATACTATTGTATTGTAAATAGAATTTGAAGACGCAATTTTTCGTCCTGCAAGTGTTTATTATTATTATTGTTGTTGGCTGTCGTCGGCAAGTCCGGCGGCCATTCACTGCTTAGCGTGGTACAATGGGACAAAAGAGTATGAAGCGTGAAGGGTTGAAGAAAGCTTTTTAAAGTCGCGACCGCACCCCGGGGGCGCAAAACAATGTAATCTCTGCGAGGCTGCGCCGTCGAGAAAACAATTATTATAAATATGTATTTATCTCTTTCGCGCGCGTGAGCGGGGTGGGTGTTAGGGGTGCGGGGTGAGGTCGCGTTTTACGAGGACATAAATTCGGCATATTGTATTTTATTTTATTTTATACCTTGACGTGTTCTGCAGCTTCTTCTCGGCAAGACGTTGTGTTAGTGGTGGGGGTAGAGATATTATACGTCAACAAGAAGATGGAAAAGCTTCACACCCGCAGCACACATGTGTAACTTTAATAGCATAATTTCCCGGTAGCTAAATGCACGCGAGAAAAGGCGTAAACTTAAATTGACGCCTTCAAATATTCATAACAATTAGGGGTGCGCCAAAATTGGCTACAGCGCATGCGTCATCTCTTTCTCTCGCTTTCCGGCATTCCATTGCGCGCGATGTTTTATATTTATATTTACGAGGCGAATAAAACAAAACCCTTTTCGGTATGCGTAGAGATAACGGGGTGTAAAAAATGCCCGAGGGTTGCTAAGCGATTCTTGGTCAGTTTTATCGCTGGTTTTTCTTTTATGGTAACGATCTAACAAGACGAAATTGATTTCGTTTTTTTTTTCTCGCGTCTTCTGCTTTTTCATTTGCACCTATTTAATTTTTAATATGTAAATAGAGTTGTAATACGCGTGCGGGGGAAGAAAAAAAAAAGGAGGAAAATGGAAGTAATGGCGGACATAAAATGCGAATGTGCATTTAACGGCAACATAATTTGTTTATCGTCAAAGTCGTTAATGTTTATCTGTAATTGTCATCCACTGGACGCTAGCCAATTTTTGCGAAACTGCAAAATGACTAATTAAATACCCAACTCCGGTCGATGGTCACGATTGTGATACGCGCGCGCTTGTTCATTGCTGATTTTTTAATCACTTGATTTCGCCCGCGCCGCATTGTCCCTATGACTATTTAATGACGCATCCACTCGGTATCGAACAACACGATGCGGATGTTTCAAGTGTTTCGACACACTCGGAAAAAGCATGCGCCGCAAATAGAAACCGAAATCTGATATTGCATTGTCTACAATGTATAAACCATTTAGTTATTATCCGAGCGGAGTTTTCTGTTTTCTGCGAAAGGACTAAATAATGTACATTATCGTCAATTCCAGTCGGTATTGTATGCGGCGTGTGACGGCAGACGCGAGGCTTTCAATGCGTCGTGAAGGTGCCACCGCCGCCGACGTCGCTTTGAGAGCACTAATGTCGTGCGTGTGGGCTCGCCGCATGCATCACCCATCACCCCCAGTGTGTGATGTGCGGCGGCCACGTTTGGCACTGATACCGAAAGAGCTTCTGTCTCGGGCTGTCATTGTGCGTTCATTACGCCAGCGGGGTTTATTATCGCAATGCCAACTATTTCAGGCCGCAGGGACAAAGAAAGTCAAGGATTGTTATTCACAAGTGAATAATACACTTGGTTTTCGGTGGGATTCGTGTTTGTTTCAGTGGTTTCAGGGGAGAATCAATAATTTAATGCGCTTTGGTGAACAAATTTTGAACTATTTAATCCTATTTAGGGGTTTTTGTCGACCGGACGAGTATAACTTTATGGAGAGCATAAGTGTAAGCCATTTTCACTTTTTTGACGTTAAATTAACACCAAAATGTGCAAATTTTGCAAGAAAATGAAGAAATTATTAGAAAATTTGAAGATTTTTCGATTTAAAATTGTAATTTGATTTCTGATGCGCATTTTAGTTTAATACCGGTTTTTCGGTTAACTGGTATTTTTTAATTTCACACCCTGATAGTGCCCTTGTTAACATTTTTGTCTCGTTTGCGATTTTTATGCTTCTTCTAATGTTGTATTAGTGCGAAGTGAAATTTATTGATTGGAAGCTTGAGATGCGAATGGATGCCACCTTAGAGACACGAGGGCGCGTGACAACAATGCTCAACGATACATTCTTTGATGTATATTGTATATACTTACTCACTTTGCCGGCGCGCACCGAGGAAAAACCGCGCGAGAGCTATCTTTAAGCGATCAAGCGACTTCCTCTAGGCGAAGAATAAGTGTATATATATATATATATCTATAGAGTAGATATAGAAAATGTTTTTCGAGTTTTCTGCGCGCACCGGAATGAGTATATATCTGGTTTATTGGAGTAGAAGTTAGTGCAGATATCAAATGCGCATTAAGTTTCGTCGAAACAGCTCATGCAAAAATTTCGCCGAGAACGCCAAGAATCCGAGGCGCGGAGCAGTGTAGTACTACACTTGTGTATTAGGTTTGTGGCCGGAGAGTGTGTCGGAGTCTTGTAGTGCAACGAAAAGTTTTAGTGCGCGATGATATTAGCGATGAGAGGAAGGAAAAGCCGGCTGCGAGATGTAACGACGTAACGAACGAAACACAATTCGCCCCACATAATTGCATCGCTGCGCCCGCGCGCGCGCCGAGATTGAAAAAGCGCATTCGTAAATAAAAACCACTCTAAAAAATTGCACGCGCGCGCGTCGAAAATTAAAATTTTTATCTAATATTATGCGAATTAATTAGGATTCTTTGTTCCCATCGCGCCAGCCAGCCAGCCTGGGGCGGAGTGGGTGGCAAACCGCTAGAAATTAATTTACTGCGGCACTTTGTGGAATGCGCGCGCGGCGTTAAAACTAAATGAAGCATAGATATTTTAGACTGTAAGTTATTTTTAATGATGGCCCATATATTCGCCCCCGCAGGGTTGCGCGCACGCTGCCTGCAGTTTATATGATATAGTGGACTAACTACAATTCCATGAATTGAATAGAATTATGAGTCGAATTTATTACATGCCCGCCATGCTCCTGAGTTTTACATGCGGCCATTATCACGACGCTCTGCGAGTGTAACAAGCAATTCGCGACACTATATTTGGGGGTAGTGCGCAAAATCACGAGATCATATAAATCTATCACGATATCAGCCTTGGGGGAATAGTTGTTGAAATTGGATTTTAATCTTTGCGTTCATCGCAGTTCCATTTCTAGTGTTTCAAGTGCTTTGATTACATTGCAAATCAAATATTAAACGGAAACAAACAAGTTTATAGTTTCTACTATGTGTTGGATAGATTTTTTAAATGTTTCCTTTTTTATTTCTTCTTTTTCTACGGTTTTAAGGCACGAAAAGTGGTATTTTAATCATGGGTGTGACTAAAGTACTTTAGTCACCGACTTTAGTCACGGGGTGGAACTTTAATATAAAAATAACTGAAATTAAAGTGCCACTTAGCGTACTTGATACTTAGAATGTAAATAATACACGCACACACGTGAATAAAATATAATATACTATTAATAAACAGTAAAAATCCTCGGCGCTGTGTTTGCCTAATTAGAAGGCGCGGTGGGAAAGGTAAACGACTATTAATCACTTTAGCCCGACCCAATTTTATTCCGAGAGCGTCTAATAGCTGCGTGCGCTGAAAATGTATGTGCTAGGCGCTGGTGGAAGAGGAATCCTTCGCTACTAATTTAATTAATTTAATATTTACGAAAGTTTCGGGCGCCCCCGCCCTCCGAGTGTGTTGTGTCGTTGAGACTTTACGCTTGTTTGCGCGCCGCAAATTTCATAAAACACGCAAAAATTCAAATTGATAACAAATATGCGGTAATAATTTCGCGAGTCTGAATAATTGACACTCGAGTGTGCGCGCCGAATTTAATCACGTTACCCACTCGAACAAGGTGTGCGTGCGCGAAACACTTGCTGCAAACGAATTATATTTGATAATACATCAAAGTGCACTACGCGAGCGCGGTAATTCGATTACAACGAAACGTATTTGCAAAACAGCATCGTCCGAAAGCCGAGGATAATATGGTGCCCATGCGAAGGCAATAACTGTATTTACTACCGCCACACGTTGTGTACACACGATGGACACCACCGTGGCGGAGGGAACATGCACACGGCGTGGGCCAGATTCGTAACAACATAATGTAAAACGGTTTGATGGTTTGGTGTGTTTGATGCTGCGCCGGTATATGTGTGAGTAAACACATTGGTCGGTTGTTTGTCGTTTACTATTTGCAGCTATTTAGTGCAGCCCCGGCTTGCATTAGCGACAGAATTCGATATTCGGTTAGTGCAGACGTGTGTGTGGGTGGGTGTGTTTAGGTTGGATCTTGTGATGCGTTATTTCAATGAGTGGAAATTTAGCAGGTGTCACTTACGTGTATCTCGTTGATTAAAACACGCTGGAATCTGAATTCAAATAGGTATAGGAAATATCTTGTTTCTTGATACTTGAAATGTGTAAAAAATGTTTATTTTGGTAGACGGTTATAAAAATATTAACATTTTTTAATTATTGATGAAAAATATAATTTTTTGATCATGAAATTTATTTACAGATTTTTTCCGGTGCTCCAGAATGCTGTCCGGGACACCAGGAGGCCACAAATCGATGTTGAGGGATATGGGGAATGAGGTTTGTTGATATTTTATGAATAAGTTGGTTAATTAGTGGCAAATTTTGTTTTTCTGGACAAAATTATGAACATTTAGTACTTTTTTCTACTTCCACATTTAAAGCTTCACTTTTTCCATGGTTTTGAGACAAAAAAAAGTAGAAATTTAATCACAGTCGGCCAATGTCGTGCCTAAAGTGCTTTATCGACGGGTTTAGCCACGGTTGTGCGCGTGGATATTCCTACGGTGCAATACAAGACCATAATTAATATTAACATTGTCTTTATTTTCAGATGCATCCACAGAAGAGATGACAAAATCACAGTTTTTCCTGGTAAGTCAAAAATCAATATCATCTTTCTATATAACATGCGTAAACAGTTGTAAACATGGATTAACTTGTCCGATGTGAACATTCGCGGCAAAGCCTCATTGATGTCCCGTGACATTCAAATCCGTCTCGAACGTGCCAGCCAGCTACGAGCATTCATTTGGCGTCAAAAGTGACGAGGGCCCGTTGGTGCACAAGCACAAAAATGCCAACTTTTGTTGTCGCTCAAATTAACAATGTGATACGCGACGAAATAAAGTTTCCGACGTTGCACAGTCGGTGTTTATTCCCTTTTCGCCGCCACGCCAGTACAGTACCACCGGAGTGTGCTATAGTTGCGGTGAGGCGGGCTAATTTGAAATGGTAATGACGACAATGGGGGTGGTACTGTGAAACCGCCACCGCGACGACGACAACGACGACAAGAGGGCGTTCGACCGGCGCACAAAAGGACCGTGCAATCTTTTTCGCTGAATGCAAAAATGTGGCGCATAATGCAAACGTACAAATTGCACAATGCGATGGTAAACAACAATGCGCTCATTCCCCAAACACCCTTACGACAAGTGTGTGCGGCTGTGGAATAGTTTTGCCGCGCACCGCGACGAAATCTCGTAAAGTACACTTTTCTACACTCGCGTAGAGTTTTTTTGTTGTTGTGTGGAATTATTACAATATCCGCAATTTGAGAACGCAAATATAAAGCGGGCATCATTTATGCACTTGCAAAACGAAACAAAGAGATGTGTGTACACAACACAACACAACGCAAAACAGGAAAAAAAAACGACGAAGCTAAATATGGAAAACGTATGGAATATTTTTTTATGCATTCATGATGAAGCCCACGTTCCGCGGGCGTTTCACTGTTCTACTGTCCACACCGACCGACCGCACACGCGAAAGTCGCTCTAATGAGGCTTTTGATCAGCTTTTTAACATTTTCCACTTTGTGCAAATAAAAGCCGCTCATTATATCTACTTTTGCGGAATTAATGGTTCATATTAACGAGAGCCGAAATAATTCCCCAGAGGCTGGAAAAAGTTTGCAAAAAAATATTATTCCCAAGTTCATAAAGTAGGATATTGCGGAAAATGTTATTACTCTTTCACTAGATGTCGCTTTCAGCAATATTTCGATATTTTATCAGCATATTTAGTATCAAGTGTGCTAAACGGCACTTTAGCCACTCTCACCTTATGACTAAAGTATTTTAGTCACGAGGTGGAAGTAGAAAAAGGTTATTTTCTTTCTTTATTTTATAAAATCTAAGTATAATCTGAAAATAAGGTCAAAATTGTTCAAAATTTTATAACAACTGAAAATACTATACTTTATTCACTGGTTATGATGAATTAAGATTGGCTTATTCCAACAATGCATATATTATTAGCTCGTTATCTCATAGGGACGCATTAAGCAAATCTTGCGCTGTCAGGAGACGGCGAGATTTTCCGGAATAATAAATAACGGTTATAATTTATGTGCGCCTCAAGGCATGGCGGCGGATTTCCCCCTGTCGGGTCGGAACTGGTCACTTTATTAAACTTACAACTAGGAGTTTAGCGTAGAAGACATAGGAAGCCCGGAATGTGCGCGCCGCTGCCGGACGACCCCGCAGAACCCAAAACGGCATAATTACATCGTCTGATGGACGACTCAAGAATAGCAAGCGCCCGCGCTCGCCCAGCGCACAGAAATCTTTATTAAATCAGCCACGCTGCTCCAACCAAGTCCCAAAACAATTTTATTATTGTGTTAATAATTCCCTCGACGTTCTCCACCGCACCGCCCGAATTCCGCGTCTAATTTAATCGACCGGTAATCCATAGCGCGCGCCAAGACTCGCGCCGAGTGGTCGTCGCCAATCGAATCATTATCTTAACGCGTCCGTTATCTAAAGCTCGTAATTCCTGATTAAAATTTCGGAGCGTAAATATGTTCGGATTGGGAGCGCTGCGCGCGGTATCTGCGGGGATGAATCTCCACTGGGCCCCCCGGAATCGATCTATCGGACTTATAACTTTCATACGTGCAAGTACCAGGCTATTATACACGTCGGACTATTAATATTCATCTTGTAAATGGCGCTGCAGTAGATAGTGCACGAGGCGTGGGGCATGTGATAAATGATTTGTTAATGCGTATTAAAATTGATTTTAATCGATGTGCCCCGCAGTAAAATCAAAGTTTTATATTGGATGCATGGAAATGTCTTGAAATAACGAAAGTTTTGCTATGGAACTGATGAAGTATTTAATTAAAACTTATATCTGCGGATATTTAATAATCGAATGGGTCATATATTAAACTTGTGGAAAGTTTTATCGTTAATTTATTATAGACTAGCTTTAACCCGCGGCTTCGTAGTCACAGAAGAAGTAGCAATGAAGTAGAATGGCGGGAAGTTTAAAATGGCTGAAAGTATAGTCTATGGAAGTATAGTGTACAGTCTCCATAGTGTTGTCAATTGGATTTGATGTTGACGTAGCTGTCGGTAATACAGTGTGATAATACAGTGTGATGGTACTATAGTACTTAGGTTTGAGCTTCATTGCTGGAATGCTAGATGGCGTTAAAGTAGTCAAATAGCCAGATGCAGAGGTATTATTGGCTAAACAATTCCTTTCTTTTATTTAAAAAATAATTTTTTTTATTAAATAAAAAGTAGTCTATAACCATTCGGGGACCACTAAGAATATGTGTACAAATATTCATGATGATCGGTTAAGTAGTTTTTGCGTGAAAGTGTAACAAACATCAGGACTTTCGCATTCATAATCTTAGTAGGGATGCGAAGTTTGGCGCGAAATTCAGGTTAACTTGGTCATTATTAGCTGATTCTTGTTGGCATTGGCATATAAGGTATAGATAACACAGCGTGATAATTTAAAATGCATTGCTTATGTTTGCTTAATGGGAAAACGTAATGTAATTTGATTTATTCGCGCCGCAGACCGCGCGCCACCGGAGGCGGCTGGTGTATCGAGTGCACAACAAGCGCAACGCAACAAAAATTGCATTAAATGCACTCACTCGCTGATATAAATCAAAATCCGGCCGAGTTAATCTGCATTTTTAATAAATTAATTAACCGCCAACATTTACTACGCATTCATTATAATCGTGTTGTTTTGTTCATGTTGCGCGATTTGAAATTATCGCGATTTATCGCGCGCGTAATTAACATATCAGCGGCGGCATTTATTTTTCCGCCGATTGCAATTATAATTTTAATAGTGTTGGATGCGGGAATGTTTTGTTCCACCGCGCGCTGTTGAGGGCGATATAATTTATGGCGGAAGCCTCTCGATGTTTCTTGCGTCCCGAGCTTGCAAGCCATGCAACCGGATACTGCGGTGGTGGAGGAGCATCATATAATGATTAACGACTGATTTTTTTCTCTCGGCCGCCGCCACGCGATGATGTGTCATATAATGTACACACTCTCGAGCGCCCACTTATTTCGGGAGCTGGGACAAAAAGCGCCTCAGTGTATATTTCCAACGATTTGCAAGTACTGCAGTGGCAATGGCCACCAACGCGCAAAACGGATGATTAATTAGGATTCGGACATTTGCCGGAAAAAAATCTATGCGCTGGTGAAAATTCGATATATTCGAAATTGCAGTTTGCAGTTTGCAGTTCGCAGTTGTTTGATTTGATTGCGAATGCCGATTTGTTTAACCGTTTTTTGCCGGCGTTGGATAAAAACGCTTCAGTCAGCGCCAATTATCGCCCTGCAAACATTTTATAAATTAATATCGATGAATAATCAACGCGCGTGCTTTTTTTCCTGCTGTCGATGGCTGTTGTTTAGTGCTTAAAAATGCGCATATTGACGTCTCTAATAAATAACTAATTTATTTGACACAATAGCCCGAAGAATTCCGCGCCGGCGTGGGCGGAATGTCGATAAACGCGGATCAAATATTTGCGATATTAAAACGTGATTTGGCATTTTGTGCATTTTCGTAATCGCATACCTTGGCAGAAAATGTATATAGATATATTCGCATCGAATAGAGAGATACTATGTAAGAAAAGTGATTTAACTTTACCCTCCGGGCCATTCTCTCTTCTGCGTCGCGTATTTTCGATCGTTTTTTATTCAAAGATTATGCTCTGCCGAAGTGGATTTCGTTCCCAGTCGATCGTGCGATGTTTCGGGCTCGGAACGGCGGAGTCGCTTAAAATAAATGCTCACTCACCTGAAAAAGATAAAGAAACAATGGTTTAGTTTTACTACGCGTATTTCGCATAACGTGGTTTTATTCTTGTGGCGGCGCGGAACACTTCAAATATAATAACCGTAAAAAACCCTCAAGGATATCGCCTCTTTTCTAAATCCATACATCGTACATTTTTCCACGTTTTACCGCTCTAGGGCTGTAATTTGTTAATTAAAACATGAAAAACCGGCGTTTCATGTCGCACAAGACGTGATTTTCTATGCTAATGCAAATTTCATTAGCTCTATCGAATTATGAGCTCCGTGCATATCAATTTCGCATTAGTAGTCAAGTAAATATCAGCTCGACGTGATTAAATTCTATGTACTAGGAACACACTGTATGTATATTGTATTCGTATGTGAAACATTAAGTTGGAGTACTCTTACACGTGCGCATTTATAACAGGCGTCGGCGGCAACAAGAGCTGTTATCTATTCTGTCGTTGTTAATGAAACAGAAGACGGGAAGTATAAGCGACGACAGGCAAATTCTAATTGTGTGCGTGCGCAAACGCCGACGGCGCGGAAGAATTGCGACAGCGAGGAATCACGACGACGACGACGACGCGCTACAGCACCTAGTTTTTGCATTTCGTTACGCGCCATCATTGTGTGTAATGCAGGAGGCGACGTGAAAAACGGGGCCGAAATTTAAATTTTATACTTTTGCACACGCGAACTTTGTCGTGATCTATTTCGTTTTAATTAATATCACCATCGCCAGCATTCATTTCGACTATTATAACCGGCAGAGAGAGTTTTAATAAT